GATAACTATCATAAAGCCTGCCATTTGAAATAAATAAATTATTAAATATGAAGCATAACCCTCATTAGCGTAAGGTGAGCCAACACTTCAAGAATTTATTTAATTTACTTGCCTAACCTTACCTTATTTATTGATTTGCTTTCCTCCCCAAACAATTACGACCGCTAGAAGTTATGGGATTTAAAAAAAAACAATCTCAATTATATTCTCTGCAATATGGTGTATTTCGTTGGTACAAGAGCGATCTTTGGTAAACAGTTTATTGCAGATTACATGGCAAGTCCTCGTACACTCTCCAAACTCTAAAATTCACCGAAAAACTGCGTGCTTTACGAAGCATATTGTAATCAGCAGGATAACGAGTACACTAAACGTTTGAACTCCGGATCACCGAGGTAACTGAGATCATTAATTCCTTCAAAAGCCCATTTGGTCTCTTCCTCTGACAGTTCTCTCTCCCAGAACTTACTCAGTGTATCAACTGATGAAGTCGGTTCACTAGATGGTTGTGCAGGTTTGTTATAGGGATTGTAATTCAGTTGCAAAGCTTGTCTTAACTGAGAATGATCCTGAAGGGTTTCATGATTAGCCTGAGTTGTTGCATTGAAATTTGGTATAGTTGAGTGCACTACTGTTGGAGTTGGCAAGACGTTAGGAATAACTAATTGTGGTTGAGGCTGCTCAATTATATATTGATTGTAGTATGCCATTTCCTGTGGTTGAACCATAGCCTGTGTCTGCATTGCCATCGGCATTGGTTTAAATGCTTGAAAAGACATTGGATTCCCCTGAAATGCGGGATAACCCATTGGTACTTCGAATGGTTGTGGCCGAAATTGTTGTTGTGGATCAGGTTGATAGATAAATTGAACTGGACCTTGGACATATTGAGGATTAGCTGGAATCCAGTGACATTGCTGCTGATTCTGCTGAACAAAAGCGGAATAACGGTTTTGAAAAATTACCATAGTTGTAAAAGAAGGAACTCACTGATGATGTGATTTATATAGAATAAATAGTGCGGGATTATATGTACTTAGCCCAGTTATATACCACCATAAAAGTTCATTTAGATAAGCTTAATATATTATCATTGGTTAACCCTGAATAATAAGTTTTCAACGTTAAACAATGCTTTTAACTGTTCGAATCTGCCTGATTTTATTATCGGGAAAAAAATTAGACTTAAAGTTATTATCTCTAATGGCAATGTATGCAAAAGTGTGTATTGTTGCAAATTTATTGTAAACTAAGTAAATTTGCATTGAGTCATATTTTCAAATATTATTTATAACAAATGGCAGGCGTTTTGATAGTTATCGTTAGGCCTGTAGTTGACTTCAGGCTACGCAGTTGGGAAGGAACATCAAAGTAGAAGAAAAGTGGAGAGGGGAGGGGGACAGAAGAGTGATTCGCAGATGTAAAGGAGATGGGCATAAAGGTAGAGAAAAGGTGAGGTGAGTACTGTTGAAGTAGTCGAATTTGACATACGGTGGGGTGATGGTAGTTTGGAGTCAGAAGTCACCTGCCGGTTAATAGACTTTTTGCCGTATAAGTATACGCTGCCTAGGGTGTTCCACGTGGAGGTAAGTCTATCGCACCCCATATTTTCAAATATCATTCTACCTTCGTTATCTATTCCAATTAGAGAGCTGATGGATAACCATGATTTTGTAATTGGTCATCATGTCCAGGATACTCAGGAGTGAATGAGGGCACAAATGGTAAACTGGGAAACTGTAATGACAGATAAAGAAAGGAGTGGGAAAGTCTTGAGCTTGAAAATGGTAAGATGAAAGCGATTTTTCGGTTGGCATAAGAAAGTGTTTGAGGTGGAAAAGGAAGTGTTTGGTTTTTTTGAGAGGACTAGAAGGCATATGCATAGTTGGAGTCTGTTGAAAGCCCAGCTTGGTCATTCTGACTCAGTGTGTTGGCAACGTGAAATGATCAATATTGGTGTAGTAAAGGCTGAAGTGATCAGGCCTCTTGGGGATTCAAGCAAGCTTATAAATAAGAATTGTCGAAGGGGTACCCTAACCATTAATTCATCGACCTATCCCCTGCTTTATTTAAAGTTGACAGTGACTTTCTTCACTTATTGAATCTCCGCTGTGGTGAGATTACAATAATTTGGATATTTGAGTCTGCTTACGCACTTCTTTAAAGCTGAAAGACCTCAAGCCCTTATCTAAGTAAGAGATTCAAGTGAGATGTGATAGAAAAGAAGCGGTATTTGAATTGAACAGTCTAGGAAATACCGATACTAAAATTCCAATGCAAATATCCGTGTGAAAAACCTTGGCACTCAACTCCAACAAGGAGGATAAAACTTATGGACAGGTCTTCCCCGAGGAGATGATTTGCTTCCAATCTTTTAGCTTTGCAATGAGAAATAAATAAGTGCATTTCAATTATGATAAACTATTTCGGTAAGTTAAAATTTTCAAGTTCTGAAAGTTAAAAATCCCTTGCAGATCTAAAATTTGCCAGAATAGTATCAATTGCCTCTATCTAAAGATTGTGTGTACCTAAATCCGGTGGTAATAGTTAGGGGGAGTCAGAATGCAAGTCCTTGAATAAAATCACATGTTTGCATGTACTTATAACAATTTAGAGTTACTCAACTAGGACAAGCACAAACTCAATAATTTTAGGCTTTTATGACATCTACAGAAGTAATCACATAGAAGTTAGCGTACAAATGGTGACTTGGCAGGAATTTAATGAGAAGTTCGTTTTTAACTATGGTTGAGTGCGGAAAACCATTCAATCCTTGATCTGTAGAAAAGTATTTTTCAGAAACAGATAAGGAAGATACTGATGAAAATAACGAGGTTTTTAAGAGCATGACCTTTGACATGTATACTAAGTAAAGTGACTAGTGTTCTGAAATTATTCGAAAAATTTTTGCTCAATGTAATTTCGATGTTCCAAAGTACGTGAATTGAAGCACTAATGTTGTGCCTGCTGGATTAAAAGACAAAAGAAATATGAAAGTAAAAACAAAATAGACAATCAAGCTAAGCAAGCGTGATTTGATCTAGCAAATATCACTTTAGACTTTAGTGGAAATTTAAAGTACCTATACAAATTCTAAAGTATTAAGCTGAAGCACTTAGATGTACTACAGAAGAAGGAACAAATTATGAAATACTTAACGCTTAATAGGAAGTCAATTCATAATAATAATCATCATAAAATCTGAAGATCTGCCTGATATAATATGTAATGAAGTAGAAACAACCTGAGATTTTACAGATAATCTAACTTAATAAAATTAAAATATAAGCCAATAAGGAAATCTTTAAGACTATATCACAGCAAAGAAAAGATTTGGTTTTAGTATAAAAGAAATCTATGTTGGTTTAAAAGAAAAGAGTTCAACTAATGACCAGAATAATTTTGAAAGAGGTTAAGCCAAAAGATTTCGATTCCTAAAACCTACAAATTATTCGAATCGAACAACAACGAAATCTAGTTTGCAAATACACATTTAGTTTTGAAATCTCCACACGGTTAAATATGCAAGTTAGTATATAGCAGAAATAAACATTTTAAAATTATAATCAGTTAGTAACGTAAGGCGCCTTTGATAGATTTTCAGAAATATTAAAAACCTCAAATGCTTGAGATCAAATATTGTAACTGAAAAGCAAATAAAAATCAGTACGCAAGATAACAAAGTTAGTACATGATGAAGGATCGAAGTAAGCGTGTGTTTGTTTAGTGAGTTTTTAAAGCAATTATAATCGATTATCATTAATGAGGAAAAAAAATTAATTTATGATTGCAAATAAATCAGAATCGAATCCATGTTGTCAAAAGTTTTTAATAATTTCCTTTAAACAATATTTTGGCCTCTAATTAGAAACGAAGTTTCAGACAATAACATTGAAAATTAAGATAATGAAACGATAATGGGAGAGATGATTTGAATTTAGATCAAAGACAATTCGTATACCTAGAGCAGAATCTGCAAATGCATAAAGTAAACTAATGGATAAATTATTATTTAGTTTTGCAATTGAAATAATAATGAAACCAGTATAAAAACAAATAAATTCATTCCATAGTGTAATCCTAATAGACAAAACGACCAACCCTACTGACCAAGTTTGGCTTATATAGTTGCATATAAATTTAGCAGTCCATCTGAAAATCTTCAGGATCTCAATTTTTAATCACAATGGGCATCAGAAACGTATTCCTCAATCGATTTTCCGGGACTTGACTGTAATATACGTATCAAAAGTGCATAGACAAATCTGTATATCTAAAAATACAGTGATCAAGAGAACGATGTTCATACTTGCTCGAAGAGTATGCGTCAGGCAATCGGTTTTCCAATTGACACTCACAATAGTCAGCGTGTTCGGAAAACTATAAGGGAAAAGATATTCGTAAAGCACAGCTGAGTTTGTTTGTTAATGTCAAAGAAGAATTTTCAATGAATAACTAATGCACATACCCGCATTAAACCTGCTGAGAGAGAAGGGTTAAATTGCAGTAGAAGGTTATTTATAAACCAGATAAACAGCAAACTATGAATTTTAAGCAACTTCTTTCAACCCTAAATCTAAAAACTGGGTTCATATTGAATTCACGGACGCTATTAGCCTTCGTCAAATTCGAATAAGTCCCAGTTTCAAGGTAAGAACTATTGATAGTTTCGTTAGCGAAGAAAAATATCAATGATTAAAATCTGTAAATAAAATGCTATTTGCACATGTTTATGGGATTGATTTGTTTCAGAATTGTAGTATTTTGAATTATATGTACTAGCTTTGTGGTTCCCGAAAATTATCATGTCTTATTTAGATTTACATATAAAAATCAAGGCATTCATTCGTATTAATGGAGATTTCTATAAATAAAAATTGCCAAAGTAGTTGATTATTCAATTGCACTTTAAAATATCATTTGAACATCACTTAGTTTGTCCAATTTTATCTCATGATTCATTTCTCATAAATCCAATCCCATCCATTAATAACTCGAATTTTGTTCCAACTGTGAGTTCTACCAAGCTAATAATTTTTTGAGATTTGCTATTCAGAAATTTGTGTTAAATTTAATGATTTCACGGGTTTAGATCTAATCAATTTATGTGCGATATAAGACTGTTCAACCATATTTTGGGAATGTCTAACGGGTGAACTCTAATCAAACTCCATATGATCTTATTATTGATAGATATTTTTGAGCGATTCCATCACCTCTTATCAAGAACAAAGTGGTATTTTTAAAAATGAAATAAAGTTGGACTCAAAATTGCATTACCATTCAACATAACAGTCGAAATGAAATTTAAATAGATTTCTAACATTCTTCAAATATTAGGTGCCTAGCCTCAATCTTCCGATATCATATACCTCATTAAATAATTTTAAATTGATTTTTTAGTTTATTGAAATTTAGCAAATGAGGAAAACCCACTTAAGCGTCGGTGCCCTAAATCCCAGATAAAATTTCTCCAAATAGCACAGATAATGCGATCTCAACACCAATTGTCCATCTAAGTTTTATTTTAATATCATATGAAAGTACAGAAATTAATAATCATTGTGATCTCATTGACAAAATGTCAAGTCACTTGTTGAGTTTAAAACGATCAGCAATATCGATAACAATCACATTGATTCGTTGACTAGAGGATCGAGATGATTGTTTAAGTCGATTGTTCTCAAAAACGTCAAATCGTTGATCTCAATAAAAATGCCAGCTGTCCAATGACAGTGATGTTTAGGTAGTATGAAGAGGGGAAAATTATCAAATATTCAAATTTTTCCGGGCTCTTCAAAATTCCTATTAAAGAAGAGAAAAGAAGTCTAGCATAGTTCTTACACAAATTGTCTCGGACTAAATCAGTAAAGCTTATAGTTTTCTGGTGTTATAGAAACTTTAAATTGAAATGAAAAAGGTGGTTTGTTGATTTGTATTAATTGTACTTTGAGATATTATCTACAATTAGTTTATCAAACACGAAATTACTTAATTCTGTCAATCATAAGATCAATGAATAGCTGTAGGCAGCCACAAATGATGTAACGACCTATTTGCGCCTGTTTTTTATAAAGTAATGAAAACGGCTCAAAATTGGCGGACAAATTGTGAACAGGTGTCTTGCCGCACACTTAAAGCTATTCATTACTGACCAGTCATTTGGAACATATAACTAAAAATGATGAGAAAATAGAACGATCCAAAGTTCCTCTGCACTTTATAAAGTTTCTGTACTTAAGTATATTATATGAGGCTTTTTATTAAGGATAGACCTATCAGTAAGTCGAAAAATGCTATCCTTTAGCAATATTTATTCAAAAGTTATTTCTTTAACTCAAAATTTGACTATCTATATTTTCAAAGAAGAAAAAAGGAAACCAAGAAATTCATTTTGTATCCTGACTTTCCTAAAAAGTTGCTAATTCTCAAGAAGCTCTGAATTTGGCCATCGAACGATTTATATTCAACATCATATGTCGAAGTTTGGGTTTTATTAGCACCTTTACGGAGTCCAATTTTTGGCCCTTTATTTGTGCTTTGTGCTAAAGTTTCCACATTGGGCGTCATATAAAATTAGACAAGATTGTCCGTTGCTCTTCCTAAAGCCAACACACACTTCTCAAGTCCCTTTCTCGGTTAAAAGGTCTGAGAGTTCAAATGGAAAGATCGAAAGGTGATGGAAAGGCGTAAGATGAGAAAGAAAAGGGTGTCGGTACTAAGCGAAAGGAATACGAAATAAGAGAGCAGTTGCAATGAAGCACGGTAAGGAGGGTGACCGATTTGGTGTTTTGTGATCAGTAATGGTCGACTGACCGTTAGGGAGGCGGAATGAGTCTGACGGCGTGCAATACTTGGCCTGTATAAATTGGCCCTTTCGCTGACTTCGAGCTTCACAGAAGGGAGGGACATCAGTTGCAAAAAAGTGGAGAGGGGGGAACAGAAGAGTTATTTATAGATGTAAAGGAGACGGACATAAAGGTAGAGAAAAGGGTAGAGTGAATACTGTGAAAATGGTCGAATATGTCATGGAGTCAGATCATGGTAGTTTGAAGTCAACTGCTGGTTTATAGACTTTTTTGTCGTATGAGTATACGTTGCCCAGAGTGCACCAAGTGGAGGTAAGTCAATAGCACACCCCAATCTTCATAATATGGAGATGCTTATATGGACTGTGTGTAACTGATACAGGGCTTAGTCAATTAATATAATTTTGACAACGCTAACCAACATGTAACTACTTATCGTTGATTGCCTGATAGATCTCCGCGCTCACGACCGCACATAAACACTCCCTAACACGGTGGCGCACCTCTTTTTCCAGAACATTCTAACGCATATGGGATTCTTTTCTTCAAGTATGTCAGTTTTATGTTCCTTACAGACTCTTACTTCACGTGTTTTGATGCTTTTATTGTGCAATATTCACTAAACGGGTATATTTTGATTCAATATTACAATTTCCTTATTCCTCCACCCTTAGAATGAAGCAAACCACCTGTTGAATGCCATTTTTTCAAATGAACAGGTTTGCCCTTATCAGTCAAATTAATTTCTTCCAATGGTTGATAATACAGAATGATCTAACATGATTTTCTGAAGCTTTCGTTCTTATAGTAGTAGAGAAGAGATCGAACTGCCTTTCATATTATAGTTTATTAAAGATCGCATTCCGCATATAGACAAGTGTAAACAAAAATAGCTCTAAGAAAGGCACCCAAATAAATGACAACCACTTTCGTTGCTCCAGTACTTGCTAGCAGGTGAGATTCAAATTAAAATTCCGACGAATGAGGTCGAATTAAGAAGCCCAAAGCTCATTAGTCGAGTAATGTGAGAAATTGAGCTTTTATCGACTACTTAAAATATGTGAAAATTGTGTCCAGAAACTAGGCAAATATAAATGTGGGAAAAGAAAGAATTCGACAATTAAACATTTTTAGATTATCGGGTCACTGTTGGCAAAGCTTTAAATAGACCTCTGAGAACAGGATTTGAATTAAACTCATATTTAGTTACATCAAACGATAAAATGAGCAGCAAAACAAAGCAAGTTATTGGTAATTCCCTCCCCCCTCCAACTAATTTATTAGGTTGGCAACTAAGTCATTGCTGATTTCAAATAAGAAGGCAAATTCGGAATTTTTGTTTAAAAATATAACTTTATTCAATTAGATATTGGCCGTTCTTGTCGATGACCTTTTTCCATCGTTCTGGCAGAGTAAAAATTCCCCGTTCGTAAAATGTCTGGTCTTTGCTATTAAAAAACTGAATTAGGTGTGATCTGACATCATCCGCGTTGTTACAAATTTTACCATTTAAAGAGTTTTGCATGGAACGAAACAAATGGTAATCCGAAGGCGCAAGGTCAGGGCTATATGGTGGGTGTGACAAAACATCCCAACCCAGTTGCAATAATTTTTGCCGAGTAACCAAAGATGTGTGGTGCCTTGCGTTATCGTGATGGAAAACAACACCCTTCCGATTTGATAATGCTGGGCGCCTATCTTCAATTACATCCTTCAGTTTTTCGAGTTCTTCAACATACACATTTGAATTTATCGTTTGGTTCTGCGGCATGAGTTCAAAATACAAAATTCCTTTGTGATCCCACCAGACTGATAGCATAATCTTTTTTTGGTGAATCTCTGCTTTTGATACTGTTTGGGCTGGTTGATCTTGCTTCACCCATGATCTCTTGCGAGTAACATTGTTATAAACTATCCACTTTTCGTCGCCAGTAACTAGGTTCTTCAGAAATGGATCATTCTCATTGCGTTTCAGTAGCGGCGAATCACAGATGCTAATCCGTTGCGTCAAATGAATTTCCTTTAACTGGTGAAGGATCCATAAATCAAGTTTCTTGACATAACCAAGGGTTTTTAATTTTTTTCAATGAATGTATGCGGCACATTGAGCTTCTCTGCAATATCTCGTGTTGTGCTGTGACGATTTGAATCGATAATGGCCTTGATATGGGTTTCATCCACTTCGACTGGGCGGCCAGATCGTTGTGAATTTTTCAGTGAAAAATCACCGGAACGAAATCTTTCAAACCAATTTCGACACTGCCTTTCTTCCTCACGGCTTCATCTCCATATACGGCACATAACTTCTTTTGTGCTTGCGATGCGTTCTTGCCTTTTCGGAAGTAATACAATAAAATGTGTCGGAAGTGCATGTCCTGTTCTTTCATTTTTAAATTGGGATAAAAACAAAACTAAAGAACAAAATAAAAAAAATTTTTTACTAATTAACTTAAAAGCCCATACAGTAAGAAAAAAATATAGGTTAGATGCTCTGGCCATGTTAACAAAACAAAAGAAAGTATAGAGTGAATCCGTCAACAAAAACGGCAATGACTTAGTTGCCCACCCAATAGTTAGAGAATAAAGAAGCAATAACTTGTGGCGTTTTGGGCGCCCATTTTATTATGATCAAATGTTAGTTTCTTACGCAGGTTGTTCTCACTGTTTCATGCAAAGGCTGCCATATTAGTAAATACATTCATATCAAAGAAACCGCTAGAAGCCATGCAGTCCTTCTATAGGATTTCTGGCATACGAGCATAAATTAGAAATTATAATAAATATTTCATATATAAATATGTATACAAATTAACTAAGAAGACAGAGAATATTAATGATTCACAAAGTATGTAAAGCACTAGAGATATCTCCCAAATCAATAATATTTAAATCAGATGTCAGTAAACGAGAAGCGTTCAAATTTGGTCGTAAAATCAGTCATTGCTGCATTCATTGTCCGCACATCCTCGAGGTTAGCACTGAAACGGGATTTTGAAATCACTTCGTCACTAAGTTTTCGGAGAGATTCTTTTCTTTCTGGAGGTTTAGGTGGAAGAATAGTCTGCGAGGGGCAGTCATTGGCTTTGTAGACAACGTTGTGAGGAGGGATTGGAGGTGGATTCATTTCAGAAAATTTGCATTCATGGTATTCAAATGTGGAAATGTTTAAGCCTAAAGAACAATTATTTTCATTCAAGAATTCATTACCTGATGGAAAATGCTGGCTATCGTTGTCTGTTGGCGGTTCGTCATAGGATGAATTCAATTGCTCCTTGCTACAAAGCTTAAAATCGGCTAAATGCATAAATTCTAAAATGCGAAATTGAAGACTTAAACACTGAGAATTTCTTAGTAAAGACAATAAACTGAGAAAAATTAAGGCGAATATTTTCTGCAAATGGGGTGTGCAATAGACTTACCTCCACGTGGTGCACCCTGGGCAACGTATATTCATACGGCAAAGAAGTCTATTAATTGGCAGTTGACTTCTGACTTCAAACTATCACCACCTCATTCTATGCCATATTCGACTACTTCCATAGTACTCGCCTCACCTTTTTTCTACCTTTGTGTTTGTCTCTTACATCTTTGAAACACTCTTCTGTACCCCCCCCCACCCTCTCGACTTTTTTCAATTTGATGTTCCTTCCCCTCTGTGAAGCCTGAAGTCAACTAAAGGGCTAATGATAACCATCAAGACGCCTGCCATTTGATATAAATAAATTTTCTGCAAATAAGTGGGTATAAGTGACGATGTTCGTTTAAACTTCGTAAACAGGGGCATTAACACAAGTCAATGTTTGCTGTATAGGCATTTTAACTATAATGAAGATATAAATCAGTTCTTGAAACAACGTTTTTGCATCAAATAGTGATGATTATATTTCGTAGAACGTTAACAAGAGTAAAACGACATAAACATCAATTTTCAAAATACATTCGCAGAATTGGCACTTTATCTAAAGGAAAGCGATATCATGCTTTGAAAATTTAAAACGCAAAATTTTATTTAAATTTATCTAAAACAAACAAATTTATTGGATTTTTATGACATGATATTTTTGTGGCCTGATTAAGGATCAAGAAAGAATGACTCAAAGACAGTAAACTATTTTGGGTCGAAAAATGACTAGTGTATCCATGGAATCAGGAGATGCAGAAGGTATTACCATCATTCCATGTTAATTGAGAACTACTTTATAGGTTTGACACAGACGGTTGAAATTAGAGAGATAAGATGAGCAAGGTATTAATCAGAGTTTAAGTTCTATAAAACTCAAAATAATCTAATACGTACCACAGAATCGCAACGAACTTCTAAAAAGTTGTTTGGCAAATGCTAGCTTTATATTCACGCTTACAGATGACCTTGAATAGCACATTCTTTAAGCTGCGATAAGAGCAGAGCTATGGCGTTGTGCCACACTACTACACTACACTACTAATGACTCTATTTGACATCTTAATACTGATGCGAAAGACTTATTTAATAGGTCACTTTATTTTCTTCCAAAGAGTTTTAGAATTCACAAAGTTGCTCAATTAAAGTTCATGACATCTTAATATCAATCTGGCAAAATAACTCGCGAGTTTAAGTACAGCTACCTTAACTTCGCATTCATTGTTTAAGATCCAAAGTTTCCGAATTCCTGTGGGCAATTCACCACATTCATTAACTTGAGTTTGTCGATGAAGCGAAAAATTTATGGAGCTCAAACATGCTAACTCATTCCAGAGAATGGAGTCTTCAGCCACATTATTACTCTTTACCCATTGAGCAAATCAGTGAAGTACTTGAAGAAATTCAGTTAAGAGCGCACTTTTAGTAGTCAGAAGACGATGTGAAGTTTGATTGTTCAATGTTTACTCCTCTTCTAATATGAACGGAGTTAGTCGAAAATTTAAACTTGACTATGTACTAATATACAACTTGCATCTATTAAATGTAAAGACGAGTGTCGGAGAACGCAGTCCTCTGTGTGGCGCAAGTTCCCTTTCACCACAACTTAAAATGTGACATTTCTGACTCTTAAACTAGTCATCCTCCTTACTGAAACTTGAAAGCAGTAGCGTTTTTTAGTTTTTGGCTTGTTCAAGCATTTGTGTGTGCTATGTTAATGGCATAATAATGGGAAAAAACATGCATAGATAGGCTATAATTAATGCCTTGACGTTTCCATGCCTTGGCACCAATTGACCATCTCAAAACTTAATTGAACGCTTTTGTATCTAATGGAAGAATGTATAATGCAATCGATCATAAATGCACTAAAGACTGTTATAAAAATCGATGGACCTTTTGTTCACCTATGGAAAAATTCCATTTGCTTTCGCTTATGGGAAGAGCAATTCTCGAAGACTGAATATGAAAATTAAAATAATCTTCTTCTTGTCAATTCAAATAACAATTGAACTAGAATTTGACAAATTGTATGAGAGTAACTAATTGTATTGTTTCTGATGATCAATATAGTTATTAATGGCTTTATTTATAATAGGTTGGAAGAAATTATATCATGTCGATCGACGTAGAACTTTTGTAAATACAATGGGCTGGCTTGGAGGTGTGGGATGGAATCACAAGTAGGGATTCTGAGAGGGGTTCAAGTTTGTCAACATAGGGAACAAATGGAAGAGGCTGTAATTTGTGATGAATGAGAATTTAGAGAAATTCGAAGAAATGGCTCAAGGTACTGCAGCAACTTCAGCTTGCAAATGATACCTACATGGGTGCCATCATTGACTTGAGTATACGTCAGGTTAAGTCGAGATGTTAATGCAATTAGTTGAGTAGATTAATTATTTTCCAATTTAAATTGGCCCACCTCAAAGCACTGCTGTAGTGCCCGTGGAAAGTATCATCCAAAGTACTGACTGATTCATAACCAACAACAGTGTGATGCTAAGAGCTTACATCCTAACAGTGAATTACTTCCTCACCATTGGACCTATTTACTCACCCTCTCATCCTCTCATCTATTTATTTTAAAGACTCACAGTCATTACTTTAATTGTGTCTCTGGTACTTCGACAAATTACAATCTGAGCATTTCGAATAATTGTTTATGTAGAATATATGTCTTCTTGCTTGAAGAAAATTTGTGTCTTATAGTACCGAAATCTTGTGACTACAACTGTGATCTTAATTCAGATCAATTTGAGTTTAGTGGTACTAAAGCGGGCTATTGGAATTAGGCGACCAATGCAATGTTTCTAGGTTGGCACATTGAGGTGAACGCATTTAAAGACAAAAACACTGAGTCAGGTGCCATATTCTATTTTCTTCTGCCTGGTAATTAGTCCATCAAAACAGATACCCATTTCAATGAAAACAAACGTACAATTGTGGTATAATTTTTGAGCAACCATTGCTAATTTTGAGATTTTGATTCTCAAGTCATCGATTCCGCTGCAACTCAAGTTGAAGTCTCCATGTCATTTTACCTAAGAACCTAATTACAGGAGAATTTCGGATTTCCCAGTTCAGTTAAAGAGCAATGAAAAATTTGCATAACGGCGACATAATTATTGTTCAGCATACTAGTTTGAGCAGACATACAAATATATGAAAATGTGTTTCCTGAAAGTTATTTTTCTAACATTTATCACTTTAAACAAATATGCCATTCAATGTTTCGAACAATTTTCCAAATCCAAACCAATGTCATCACAATTTTATGAGGGATCTTTGAAAATTATTTTATGCAGAATTGACATTTTTCAATTAATACTGACCTATCTATTAGAAGCAGTAGTGAAACGTAGAGACGTTGAAAATCTGCATAGACATATCTGTCGTTTACTATCTACAGTTTCGAGAAGTACTTTCATTTACTCTCAACTCACTTTCCATTACCATTTGAGGTGTCTGATTTCCATTTCTCCATTCGTGTTCTTCCCGTATCCACAAAATCAGGAGTTTTCTAATTTGTTTGAAAGTGGAATCTAATTCTTCACTCCAACCCTTGACAGAGTAAATATGTGCCTTCAGGTTTGAGAATCCATCAGTTCGTATTTGCCGTTCCATTCGTCCATTGCATTCACTTTTCTCGAGGTTGTATACACCGTTGGTGTTTATTGAAGCTGCTTTGTCTGCAAAGCTCCGTGTGCCATTTATTCACATTGCTCGAAGCTTAAACGATTGCTTTGACATGTGTATGTGTGTGATGTTCAAATAGTTGATCAATATCACTCACACATGCTCTGTCTGAATTGATTTGTGCTATTTATGTGCTTGAAACATTGGTCCCATCAAGTGTACGTTAGCAAAACTTGCATGTGTGTGCAAATTCGTAATAAGAATGTTGCAAACCAACTGGTTTAAGAAAATTAGTCTAACTCAGTTTCTACTTGTGTGGTTTCAGTAGAAAGAGATTTGCAAGCAGATGTCACTGAAAAGAGACAGAATCGTTGATTCTGGCCTATTTAGAAATAAGCAAAGATGAACTAATAGATTCTCAAACCTGGGGACACATATTTTTGCTCTACCATAGGTTGGAGTGAGGAATTAGATTTCACTTTCAAACAGTTTAGAAAATTCTGGATTTTGTGAATACGGCAAGAATACAAATGTAGAAATGAAAATCAGACATCTCAAATGGGAATGGAAAGTGAGTTGAGAAGTAAACGAAAATATTTCTCGAAACTGTTGTTAGTAAACGACAGATATGTCTATGCAGATTTTCAACGTCTCTACGTTTCACTACTGCTTCTAATAGATAGGTCAGTATTAATTGAAAAATGTCAATTCTGCATAAAATAATTTTCAAAGATCCCTCATAAAATTGTGATGGCATTGGTTTGGATTTGGAAAATTGTTCGAAACATTGAATGGCATATTTGTTTAAAGTGATAAATGTTAGAAAAATAACTTTCAGGAAACACATTTTCATATATTTGTATGTCTGCTCAAACTAGTATGCTGAACAATAATTATGTCGCCGTTATGCAAATTTTTCATTGCTCTTTAACTGAACTGGGAAATCCGAAATTCTCCTGTAATTAGGTTCTTAGGTAAAATGACATGGAGACTTCAACTTGAGTTGCAGCGGAATCGATGACTTGAGAATCAAAATCTCAAAATTAGCAATGGTTGCTCAAAAATTATACCACAATTGTACGTTTGTTTTCATTGAAATGGGTATCTGTTTTGATGGACTAATTACCAGGCAGAAGAAAATAGAATATGGCACCTGACTCAGTGTTTTTGTCTTTAAATGCGTTCACCTCAATGTGCCAACCTAGAAACATTGCATTGGTCGCCTAATTCCAATAGCCCGCTTTAGTACCACTAAACTCAAATTG